ATGGAGCAGATCCTCTTGAGAGTTATCATGCGGCACTTGCAGGGCAAGCAGGCAATCAGGCCCAGTCAGCATGGGTTTATGGAAGGCAGGTCCTGCTTGACGAACCTGATCTCCTTCTATGACAAAGTGACGCGCTGGGTGGACGAGGGAAAGGCTGTGGATGTGGTCTACCTTGACTTCAGCAAGGCTTTTGACACCGTCTCCCACAGCATTCTCCTCAAGAAACTGGCTGCTCTTGGCTTGGACTGGCACACGCTTCGTTGGGTTAGAAACTGGCTGGATGGCTGGGCCCAAAGAGTCGTGGTAAATGGAGTCAAGTCCAGTTGGAGGCCAGTCACTAGTGGCATTCCCCAGGGCTCGGTGCTGCGGCCGGTCCTCTTTAATATCTTCATCAGTGATCTGGATGAGGGCATTGAGTGCACCCTCAGTAAGTTTGCAGATGACACCAAGTTAGGTGCGTGTGTCGATCTGCTCGAGGGTAAGAAGGCTCTGCAGGAGGATCTGGATAGGCTGCACCGATGGGCTGAGGTCAACTGCATGAAGTTCAACAAGGCCAAGTGCCGGGTTCTGCACCTGGGGTGCAATAACCCCAAGCAGAGCTACAGGCTGGGAGATGAGTGGTTGGAGAGCTGCCAGGCAGAGAAGGACCTGGGAGTGATGGTGGACAGTCGGCTGAATATGAGCCAGCAGTGTGCTCAGGTGGCCAAGAAGGCCAACAGCATCCTGGCTTGTATCAGAAACACTGTGACCAGCAGGGCTAGGGAGGTGATCGTCCCCCTGTACTCGGCTCTGGTGAGGCCGCACCTCGAGTACTGTGTTCAGTTTTGGGCCTGTTGCTACAAGAAGGACATCGAGGTGCTTGAGTGAGTCCAGAGAAGGGTGACGAAGCTGGTGAGGGGCCTGGAGAACAAGTCCTATGAGGAGCGGCTGAGGGAGCTGGGCTTGTTCAGCCTGGAGAAGAGGAGGCTCAGGGGTGACCTTATTGCTCTTTTCAGATACCTTAAAGGAGGCTGTAGCGAGGTGGGGGTTGGCCTGTTCTCCCACGTGCCTGGTTACAGGACAAGGGGGAATGGGCTAAAGTTGCGCCAGGGGAGTTTTAGGCTGGATGTTAGAAAGAACTTCTTTACTGAAAGGGTTGTTAGACACTGGAACAGGCTGCCCAGGGAAGTGGTGGAGTCACCATCCCTGGAAGTCTTTAAAAGACGTTTAGATGTAGAGCTTAGGGATATGGTTTAGTGGGAACTGTTAGTGATGGGTCAGAGGTTGGAGTCGATGATCTTGAGGTCTCTTCCAACCTAGAAATTCTGTGATTCTGTGTGATTCTGTAATTGAAGAATTTTTCTCCCAACCTGTAATCTAAGTCTCCCCTCTTTTAGCTTAAAACCATTCCCCTTTGTCCTGATTGAGCAAAGAGTCACACTCCATCTTTTTTATACACCACTTTTAATACTGAAAGACCACAGAGAGGTCACCCCGGAGCCTTCTTTTCTCCAGGCTGAACAGCCTCAGCTCTCTTAGTCTTTCTTCATAGGAGATGTGGTCATACCCGTGTTTCATACAGTGTCTCCACCCAGGAGAGGGGTCATACCAGTGTTCTTCTTGTGGCATCACACTTCCCACCACTTTCCTCAGACCTCCAGGAAAAGCCCCGAGCCAGACATGGGGGTGCAGGATCTCTCCTCGCAGTGTCTGGGGTTAGGACTTGGACCAGATCCCTCAGTACACTCGGCTATATCCCATCTAGCTCCATCGACTTATGAACACCCTCCATGAGGGATGCTGTACGAGCAGTGGGGCCTGCTCAACAGGAGCAAGGCCAGCTTCCTACAGAACTGCCTGATGAGGGACATGGCCACCAAGAAAATCGGAGTTATCAGACTCAGCTCAGATCTGTCTGTGAGACACCACAAAAAAATGGTCTACAGGAACAGGGAAAAAGGTCTGGCATTTCCTAGGAAATCTGATAACTCAGATCTTCTTGGTGACCATTCTCCTCATAAGGCAGCTCTTTAGGAAGCTGACAGGTTCAGCGAAGAGCAACGACACTGGAAAGGCTGAAAGTCCCAACAGAACCAAAGTCTTTGTGTCTGTGTCTATGGCTGCTTTCTAAGCCACCAATGCCAATGAGGACACATATTGTTAAAACACCGGGGCCTCATTGCCTTCTCGCCCCCACCCATGAAGCAGGCAGGGGTCGTACCATTCTCCTCACTTGTCCATGCACATCCCCATCTCCTACTGCCCCACAAAGAGCCCTGAGCAAGGTGTGAAGAGAAAGGATCTCCCTTCCAACGGGTGAAGGGTCAAGGCCTGGCCCTTGTGCTTGCTGACAAACATCCAGTTTTCCTACACATCAGTGTCACCTTCACATTGCCTTTGTCTCCTTGTCCTCACTGCATCCTGTGTTCTGCTCTAACGAGCTCCAAGGGAGGCTGTGTCAGTGCTGGCCTTCAGGGGGACACTGCAGGAAACTTGCCTCTGACTTGCACTTCTGGAGAGATGTCTTCAATTGTCTCTGAGTGCCTGAGGTTCGTGGGCTCATCAGCAAAGCCCCCAGAGGGGTGATTGCAGTGCCTTGGGCTGGTGCTGTGCTGCTGAGCTGGGCCAGGCTCATGGGACAGAGAGAGCTCGTGGCAAGAGGGCCCTGGTGCAGAGAGCCAGCTGTGCCCAGGAGCAGCTCCTCTGCACAGCACAGCAGGGCTGGGGGCTCTGACCGCAGCTGGCACACAGAGAGGAGAGGAGAGAGGGCTTGGAGGCACTGAGGAGCACAACAACAGAGGGCAGCGTGTGGCAGGACACATCTGCAGGCTCTTGACACCGTGAGGCTCTGGCAGCAGGGCCATGCAGGTGGGGCTGCCAGAGGGGTCATTTACAGCTGGCACATCTGATGGCTGATAGCATCTGTCAGGATGGGTCTTATTCTACCTGTAATGTGGCATACAATACATTTTAGAGAATGGTATTTTTAGGGGGCATTTTAACAGGAAGACCGAGGCTTGGTTTATCTGAAATGGAAGACTTGCTTGGATTCTGTGCTTTCAGATTCTTGGTGTGGAGGGGAGGCAGGGTTCATGACAATGAATTGTCTGGATTGTACAGGAGACTGAGACTCCAAGAGTATTGCAGGGAGAGATGAACATGGCAGCAATTAACGTGATCAAATCCCTTCAGGCACCTCAGCCTAAAGACTGAAACAATATTGTCTCCTCAGGGTTTATCAGGTCTTCAGGAGCTGCAACCCCTGTGATGTCCTGTATTCATGAAGCACACAGCTTGTGGGACGGGGTCTGTGAGCTAGGACATGGAAGATACATGGGGACAGAGATCCTGTTTCCAGCAGGGACATAGGAAGGCAGTAGAGATATGAGCAGGGGAGGCAGTGAGAGGGAGCTGCTGCCAGAAATGCTGTGAGAGGGAGGGCTCAGGCACCTCCCTGCCGTCCCCTGCAGGGCAGGCGCCTTCCGTGGGACACCCCCTGCTCTCCTTTCCCACCAGCACGGCCTCTGCCCTCAAGCCCCCGGTTTCCCCAGCAGGAGCTGCCTCCTCTGCAGGCAGAGCTGCAGCACAGGAGGGTCTGCTGAGTGTCCGTCTGTCCCTCCCTGGCCTTGCCTCCCCTGGCAGCAGCATGCTGGCATTCCTGCTGGCTTCTCCAGCTGGCCGTGCTGCTGCTGGTCTTGTTCCCAGGCTGGCTGGGGATGGGGTTTTCACATGCCCATGAAGTGAGACTTCGGTGTGTTTGGGTGGAGGGACAGGGTGAGGGGTGTGGAGATGGGCACTTTGAGCCTGGATTCCTCTGCTCTCAGCAGTGTTCAGGTTCTTTTCAGATGAACAACTGAGTACAACTTTCCTGCAGCTCTCACAGGGCGGCTGAGACCAGCACTGATGGACAGATTGTCTGTCCTCACTAAAGGATACTCTGCACTTTAGGGACAGTCCCTTTTTCTCTGAGCAGACACAAAGTTTCCCTTCAAGTGCAGGGGGAATGTCCAGGATTTCTGTTTTAGAAAAACTCAGCAGTGTCCAGGTTCTATAGGCACTGGAACAGGCACCACGGGGAAGTGGTCACAGCACTAATGCTGTCAGAATTTAAATATTTGGGCAACCCCCTCAGGCATATGGACTGATTTTTGGGTGGTCATGTACAAATTCAGTGGTGGGATCTGATGATCCTTGTCGAACACTTTCAAGTCAGGATATTCTACGATTCTATGACACTAGGAACATGGGAGCAGAATTGCACTGTAGCTAAAAGACCAGCCAACATAGAGCAGCTGAGCCCAGAACTGATGGACTCCTCTCGGAAGAGCATTCTGCTCTAAAAATGCAGTATCTGTGACTCTGAAGATGTACAAGGTTTCACTTGGAGTGCAGCTGAATGCCCAGGATTTATGCCTTAGAAGGACTCCTCAGATGTGGTGGAGCAGCTGAACAAAGAGTACAAATCAAACAAACAAATAAACAAATAAACAAATAAATCTCCACGTGTCTGCTCTGTGATGAACTTTGAGCAAAACTGGGGAAATCTGATATGAACTGAAGTGAATCTGAGACTGCCCCATGTTCCTACTATGTTGATACCTTGAGCTGTAGTGCAGGACTGATTCTTCCATTGCCCACAGAAGAGCACTCTTCTCCCAGAGAGACTCAGTATTAGCTGGAAGTCATTAAAAGGACCTTCAAAATAACTGCCTGCAAGTGGAAAATATTTTTGATGGTTTTAAAAAATTGAATTTTCCTCTGATATGTCTGCTGTACATTATTACTATTCTTTCTCTTTGTGCAGGACCACTTCACAGAAATAACGGATGTCCAACAACAGATCTGTGAGTGAGTTCCTCCTGCTGGCATTCGCAGACACACATGAGCTGCAGCTCCTGCACTTCGTGCTCTTCCTGAGCATCTACCTGGCTGCCCTCCTGGGCAACGGCCTCATCCTCAGCGCCGTAGCCTGCCACCACCACCTCCACACCCCCATGTACTTCTTCCTCCTCAACCTCGCCCTCCTCGACGTGGGCTGCATCTCCACCACTCTGCCCAAAGCCATGGCCAATGTCCTCTGGGACACCAGGGCCATCTCCTATCAAGGATGTGCTGCACAGGTCTTCTTTTTTGTCTTCTTCATTGGAGCAGAGTATTCCCTTCTCACCATCATGGCCTACGACCGCTACGTTGCCATCTGCAAGCCCCTGCACTACGGGAGCGTCCTGGGCAGCAGAGCTTGTGCCCAGATGGCAGCAGCTGCCTGGGGCAGTGGCTTTCTCAATGCTGTCCTGCACACGGCCAGCACATTTTCCCTACCCCTCTGCCAAGGCAATGCTGTGGACCAGTTCTTCTGTGAAATCCCCCACATCCTCAAGCTCTCCTGCTCAGATTCCTATCTCAGAGAAGTTTGGGCAATTCTGTTTAGCATATTTTTAGCATTTGGTTGCTTTGTTTTCATTGTGGCGTCCTATGTTCAGATCTTCAGGGCAGTGCTGAGGATGCCCTCAGAGGAGGGCTGGCACAAAGCTTTCTCCACGTGCCTCCCTCACCTGATTGTCACCTCCCTGATGATCAGCACTTCCATCTTTGCCTACCTGAAGCCCCCCTCCATTTCCTCCCCATCCCTTGACCTGGTGGTCACAGTTCTGTACAGTGTGGTTCCTCCAGGAGCAAACCCTCTCATTTATAGCTTGAGGAACCAGGAACTAAGGGATTCCATCAGGACTCTACTTGAGGACACACATCGTCAGCAAATTCACCTATAATACTATCCCTAATATTAGAAATCCCAGCTCTTCTCAGAAAGAAAATAATATGATGTCTTCTATTATTAAATGTCTGTATTATTATTTTCTCTCATTATTACACATTTGATTAAATATTATTCCTAGCGCCCTAGAAGTCAATTATTTTTCTGTAGAAGATGGCTTCCTGTGTAGATAAACCTAATAAGAAAGCCATCAGGAATTCATGGCTCTGAGCTGACATCTCTTCCTATCCCCTCTGGAGCTGGGGGAGCAGCCCCAGCACGCAGGAGGGGCTCAGGACCAAGAGCCCAGCTGCCACATGCAGGAGCAGCCCCGGTGGCCCTCGGGGCTTCCCCTCCCTGCCCGCTGGGCTCTGCCTCTCTGCTGCCTTCGGGTCGGGGCTGCTGCTTCCCTGGAGCCATGGCCATGGCCAGCAGCAGGACGTGGCCTTTTCCCTGCTGCTCTCTTTTGGCTTCCACATTGTGCTTCTTTTTTTCTGGGTTAGACCTGATATCTCCTGTACCTTGGTGACAGTCCTGTTGTCTCTGCAGTGGCATCCCTGTCCCTTCAGGCAGCAGCAGGCACTGTGCAGCCCTGGGTCACAGCTGCCTCCCTGCTAACACCACAGTAAAAAGAAGGGCTGCTGAGAGCAAACCCAGAAGTCTGGACACCTCTTCGAAATGTGCTATCAGGAACACAGCCAAGGGGTTGCTCCCTGTTCTTCTCTATTCTGGGGGTTTGTCATAGAGTGAAGGACGCAGGAAGAAAGTCCCAGGGTGGTCCCTGAGGAACCAAGGACAGCACTCAGAGCTCCTGTTATGGCAGAACTTGCCTAAGGACATGACAGCTGATCTTAAACTTATCTGCATGGGACTACACCCCCTGCAGCGGGGTTGACAGCCAGTGCCAACCTGGAGAGGAATCTGGATCTGCCAGGAGAAGTCAGGGGGTCTCCAGGGACAGGGTGCTCAGTGGGTAGTGATTAGAACCTCATAAAATGACCGTGCAAGGTAGTGTCTGGTAACAAACAAGGTGAATCTGAGGAGTGCATGGGCAACTCACACTGCTCAGGCTGGGTCAGCTGTCACTGCAGGTTCTCCTCCCAGCCTCTTGCCCACCTGCAGCCAACTGACTCCTGGGGCAGATTTAGAAGCAGAGAAGGCCTTGATGCTGTGCAAGCACTGCTCAGGAACAGTGATCAGAACCATGGGTGACCAACACTGCTCTAGTCACATATCAAAAACACAGCACCACACGGTCTGATCTACAGAGAGAAACGCTGTCCCAGACTGTCTTTGTCCCCACAATGGATGAGACGCTCTGGAAGGAGTCAGGAAGGTGCTAATAAACACCAGGACAATTGAGGAAACCCAAAGGCCCTTCTGAAAGGTCACTGAGTGCCACCTGAGAGGCAGTTCTGGGCAGTGGGGAGGGCCAGGAGAAAGACTTGTGAGAAGGCTGTGAGAAACAAGGAAATCCATGGCTTTAGCAGGTCCTTAAAGTCCTGCCTGAGTCCCCAAATGGAAAGCAATCTATGTCTGTGGGTTGACGAGAAGGAAGTCGTGAGTCCCAGGTGGGGGACAGGGCTGAAGGTCCCTGCGTGTAGCTGGGTGGATGGAGAAGTGTCCACCTTGCATGTGTGCCTCAGCCTGGGAGCAGGAGCTTGCCCGTGGTGCAGGATGGCTGGGCTGTGCTCAGCCATGCCCCAGGAGATGACCTTGCTCTGTTCCTCCCCACACAGGGCAGGCCCTCAGGAAACACCCCTGGGACTGGAGATGCACCAACCTGCTGCAGTGAGGTGCCAGTAGTGCAGGGGAAGAGGGGAGGCTTGGAGAGACACACGGGGGCTGTGGACAAGAGTGGTGTGGCCTGGGGAAGTGAGTGCCTGGGAAAAGTTACCCTGGAGCCATAGGAGCCATTCTGGAAAGAAAATTTGTAGGCAGGAACCGCACTTTTGTGGCACTGCAGAGCTGCTGGGCACATTGTGCAGGGTGCTCTGATGGACTTTTGTGTCCTTTTCCATCGTGTCTTAAGTGACGCTTTTCTCAGGAATAAAGTAGCCAACAGAGCACTGACAGATAGTCTAAGATCATGAAAGGCATCATAAGCATGCCCCTAAAAAGATAACTGATATGGGGAAATCAGGAGAAGCCTGGCCAGGAGAAATGTGAGACTGAGAGGAGGGAATAGGGGCTTGGCCAGCCGAAATTAAGCATTTTGTAGAAGTAAGAGGGTTCAGGTTATGCTGATGTTGTTGTAACTGTGACTTAAAATAGTCATATGATGCTATTCCCCAGCTTCAACCTGTAATCTTATTTCCTAAACCTAAATGCTACTCAGCACCATGACAGGAATCCACTACTCTAATGACTGACCTGAAAGTATCCCTTGAAGACAAAACTCAGCCTATAGCCGCTTCACCTAGCTCTTACTCTCTTAATCACTGTTATCTCTGCCCTTAATACTAGCATTAAAATGGTCTATTTAACACTAGAAAACTGCTTAGGAGACCTAAACCAAACCCTAACTCCAAATAAATGTGAGGGGCCATGGATCTGTTCAGCTTGTGGGCCAAAAGGAGGAGATGGGTGGGAATGCTCTGAGGAGCTCAGCTCTGCTTCAGGATCTCCTGCCCCAGCAGCAGGAATGTGACTGTGGCAGGGACTATGAGGTCACTTCTGTCTCTGCACTTGATTGGGCAGGAGCAGGAACGTGTCACAGAAAGGGACTGTGAGGTCACTTGTGTCTAGAGGTGGCAGGTCCACCCTTGACTTCTCCCTGGGATGTGCACTTTTGGGCTGACATCTGGCAGTGGCCCTGCTAGGCCAGCAGAAGGCACCTGCTTGGCATGCTGACTGGGGGATCCCCTCTGCCTCCAGAGCCAGGAGGACCCAGGCAGATAGAAGGCCCCCAGATGGGTTGTCCTGTCCCTTCTGCTTGAGTCCATGACTGCACAGAAGCAGGAGGCACAAGGCTTGGCTGTGTCTCCACAAGAAGCTGCAAGGCCAGCAGCAGGCCCCTGGCTTGGAAGCTGCTGCTGAGTGTCTATGATCTGACCTTAAATTCGTTTTTCAAGAAACATCTGTTGAGGGTTGAAGAGACGTTGGTGAAATGATGGAAATACTGGGATGAGAGCAAGGTGTTGAATAAAGATGGGTGTCTGCAGATTTCCAGGAAATAGGACAAAGTGTGGGACAGCATAGGAAAGCCTTCAGAGGAGAAGGCAGAGAGTGCTGGCAAAATGGAAGGCCCCAACAGCCCTGTCACTTTGGCTAGAGCTTATGAGAAAATAAGATATAGTCATTGCAGTGCAGCCTCTTTGCTTCCTTGCAACCTTGTGCAGAGGCAGGGTGGTGTCATACCAGTGTTCTTCTCATGGCATCACACTGCCCACCACATTCCTCAGACCCTCAAGAAAAGTCCTGAGCCAGACAGGTGGGTGCAGGATCTCACCTCACAGTGGCTGGGGTCAGGCCTTGGACCTTCTGCATCACCAAAACCAACCAAGACTTTTCTCAGCACAGTGCTTTGCCTGTCTGTAACCATGGCCTCCAATTATCTCTCCTAACATATCCCTGGGGAAGCTTTGTTAGTAACAGCCCGCAGTGGGGTCCACTAATACTCCAAGTCACTTCAGCTTTTCCTTTTGCTTTTTCACACAGTTGCATCATCCTCTTCTCAGTACCCAAGTTTCATTGACTCAGCAACAAAATACACAATGGAACTCTTTAAAACACAGAAACTCCTAACAAGCCATATCTCTCCCACTAGTTTCTTCAAGTCTTCAAGACTTGTTCAGCTAATTGGAGAGCTTTCATGTTCTAGTTAAGGGGGAAGATCTCAAAGAGCATCTAATAAGAATCTTTCTTCATTTTAAAGGCTGAATTTTGTTGTGTTTCAGTTGAGAGCATCATTCTCCAATAGGTATTGGTCTAGGGTTTCTCCTTTGAAGCCCTGCGTAGGTGGGAAGAACAGGGGTTTTCCTGTTTCAAAACAAGCAACAGGAAATCATGCTGCAATTTAAAAAAAAAAAAATAATGTTCCTATATATTTCCAGTGATGTTTACCTTCCCAAAAGGATGACTGTACATGATGTATTTTACAGTGATTAATAGGAATTTTTAAATAATTGTGTTAATATTAATCCATATCATACTAATTCAATGATAAATGATGAGGGTCTTACTAAGGAAACCATTAGACAGACTGCTGAGAGATGGGCAAGTTTGAACTCACTGAAACTCAAAGCAGCAACTGGGTCACTGAGAGTGGTCTGAATGATTAAACGGTAAGAGGAGGGCAAACCAGGAGAGCAATGGGAAGTGCATAGGTCCAGACAGGCAGCTGGAAAGGGGGCATTCAGCAGGGTCTGTGTAATCCAGATGAGTTTTGTGCCTGGAAGATGAGGGAGGGAGCACACCATGATAGAAAAGCGATGACAATGCAAGTACAGGTGAACACCAGTATTTCTTCTCCTGGGATGAATATGCAAAAAAAAATATGAAAAATCACATTTCTTCATGATAGAAATTACACTTCACATGAGACATTTTACAGAAAGGATTGAGTCTTTTGAGCTGATGAGTTGTTGCTTTATTATTCAAGTACTGAAAAAAAATACTGGGTATTCTGGCAGAGCTTTGCTGCCTGACCATAAGCAACCAGGGAAAACCTCCAGTGGCCCCGTTGTGTTTCAGGCAATTCCCCGGACCAGCAGATGTCAGAAAAGACCTGCAGGATGCCAGAGCCCTTTGGGAAAATCAGGTGGAGCCAGGTGGAGTTCCCAGGGCACCTCCATTGCCAGCAGTGGTCTTTGTCCCTGTAACTGCAGCCCAGTCCAGCACAGGAAACCCCTTCAAAGACAAACCTCTTCTTCAGTGGTGTCCTGGGATTCACCTAGATTTGAAATGGCCATTGGAAACATGAGACACTCTCCCTTATTCCTACTAGACACGTGAGCATGTGTTTATTTTCCTGGGTCATCTTTAGCAAACTCAGGCTGAAAAACTCAAGTATAG